ACTGGAAGTATCGAATTCTAGTCTCGATACAGGCCTCAACCCAATGCCACTTTCGGTTGTGCTTCGACCGTAGCTTGACATCTCTGATGAATTTGGCGCTTCTGTCAATTTTGTTGTCTTGGATCAGCTACAAGCATAAATTCCCAAATTTTCCTAGTTTATATTGACTATTGATGACAACTACCCAGCTCTCAGATTGATCACTTATTTCCTAAAAAGAGTTCACATGGCACAAGGAAATCATTAATATGGCGATTAGATGTTATAAAAAACGAAAATAAGCAGCAACTGAAGCAGCAACTAAAGGCAATTGGAAACAATTACTAATTCAATCATCAGTAAAATCAACCGGTTCGATTCTTCTATTATATATTTACAAGTTTTTCACTCTGTTGTTTGAAAATTCCGAGAAGATATAAAGCAAGTGTACTCCCACAGCCAAGATCAAACACTTCATTCAGGCAAACAAATAAAAAAAAATCTCTTCTAAGTAACAAGATGAAGATAATTTTAAGTTGCGATAAAATAACAATTCTTTGTCATCATATGATACCACCCTTTGATATTTCTGCCAGCTTCTGTAACTAATGACTATATCGCATGCAAGCGGCACCGCATCCCAAGCATACAGTTGGCAAGCATTACAATCGAGTGACATAACATGTTTAATACTGAAAAACAAACTGAATTTTAATTAAATTTTTCATTAGTTCACATCTGGAAACGTCTGTTTCATTAAAATTCATGACCGGATTAGCTCGACTTTTACGGCGTTAACTATCAAATTAAACTTCGGATTGCACATCGCGGATAAAAATTGCCTAACCAGTTCAAAAAAATAATAATGAAAAACAATATACATCAAGTAGAAATAATTTGAAGTTGGCAAATAGTCAAATGTTACAACCTGCTAGTATCTTAAAGACTGGAATAAAACTTGATAAGCTAGGTATAATCAAGAAAAATGGGCAAGAAGATGAACAAAATGATAACCCTTGGGCAGAATTTATTTTAAAAGATAAGGCAGGAATAATCCCACGTATCAATAACACATGCTCCAATAATTGGCCGACTTTTCCGTTCTATCCAACAAGCAAGCTATTGTCGGGGTTTTTCAAAGTAATTCATTTTAGAGTGTCATAAGAACGACAATATGCATTGGCAAAAAATTTAAGCCCGAAATAAGTAATCCATCATTTGGCTCACATTTTGCGTTCTACTCCTATTCGTATCCGGTAAGACCAAAAAAGGGAATGGAAAACTCGCTATACTTGCAAGCCATTGAAAACAAAATTAGACCGGGGTTAAGCACGCCGCCATTGCCTCCCACGGGAAATTACGCTCCTTCACGCTTCATCGCCATCAAAGACAACTTTAAAATTTTGGCCGCATTGGGCGATAAGAGAAGATAGCATTTATAGCACAAGTTGTCCATTCGTCACTGTCTGTTTTCAAGTCTTTGACTTGAATAGATCTTTTAAAAACAGATCAGAGAGCTACCGTCCAATTTCAACCAGATGCTACCATTTAACATTTATGTCTTAACATACTTGCATACTTTATACCATGCGGAAAACACTGTTTACCATTCCTCTTTTGAAGCTTAACCTTTCGAATATTATATTTTTTTGCAAGTTCAAAGAACTATTCATGCATCTAAAAAGCAATTGATAGGTGACACAAAAACATCATCTAAAACAAGGATCCGATGTCGATAAAAAATATAAGATGAAAGAATTTCATTCAAAACTGTACTTTGGCAACAATTTTTATGTAAATTTCTGCAAATCTAACTTAAATTTATCTTTGTTGTTTTAGGGAATGAAAATGAATTAGCATAAAAACATCAAGCAAATATAATTTTACATCACTGAGCCAACAGAACTGAACCCTACACCCAACAATAATTGTTGTCCAATTCAGCCCAAAATGTTACCACAGTTAAATTTTTGCGTTTCGTTTTTGTTCAGGTAAGGGATGGTAAGGCATTTATTAGGCCCATCGGTTGCATTAATAATCGTTTCCTATCAAAACACCCTTAAAATGACTAATTGAAATACCGACGTTTAGCAACACTTGCTAACACAGCCAACAAAAAAATGATCGACTTTATTTAACATTTTTCGATATTCGGAGAAAAAATACATCAAGTTAAAGATCTTTGATTTACAGTTGACATTATGTTTTTTAAAACTAGCCCAAATGGAAAAACTGGGTCAATGGGGAAAATCTACTAAAAATCTACTAGTAAATAAAGAAAGCTAGCAATTACAGCCAGTTTCGAAACCAACATAATTCCCATTTTTTTGGCCCCATTTACAGTTCCGTTATTGTAGAGCCTATTTTGCTCTCTTTTAAAGCAAACGAATTTGAATGGAACTGTAAAAAAAATTAAAAACCCGCGAGAGATCAGCACGACCTAAATGACTATCTTCACTTTGATCATTGATAATTCATGGATCCCAGCCCTTTTAACCGATGCATCATTTATGAAACCCATTGCTAGAAAGGTGGCGAGGGAAAAGTAGACAACTGAACGTCATTTGTTTTTTGGGAAAAAAAAACAAAAAAAAAGAACTGAAGTCAAATAGCGAAGACCAATAATGCGCGTGATCAAATTTCACTTCTTGAAAAACAAACACCGCGCGGGACCTAAATAAATTGAAATCACTTTGTTCGTTAAAACTTAATACCACATGATGATTTCATTGCAAGCAAGCCAAAAATAATGAGACGGAAACTTTAACAAGGTCGAAAAAGTACATCTACAAAATGTTTTAAACCTCTGTTTGAAATGATGTTCAATTTTAGGAAAACATGCCGTAAAGCACAATCATCATCGTCCGATAAGCATTCAGTAACATTTACCTCCCGGCAAATAAAACAAAACCATAATAATTGAAGGTATACGCCTAATGAGCCGAAAAAAACTGTAGTCAAACAATTTTGAGATGTTATGTTTTCTCCTCACAACTCCTCAAATGTAAACAAAAAATCTAGTTTGCCCTTTGAACGACGCAAAATAGGGTGACTAAACCCATACATCATACGCCAAAACCCTTATAACATGCGCCAGAAAAAAAAACTTGAAACAAATGAGTACAAGGAAATTGCAATGCAGAAAAATATGCCAAATTAGAGCCTAAAAATTTACTGTAAAAACGTCACAAAATTTCATATTTTTCAACTTCTTTAACCCTTATCACTCACGAAAGCTCTATTACCAAACTGTGTTTCAGTTTGGCCAAACTGAATATTTGGCCAGACTTTGCCAAACTGAAACATTTGTGAAGTAGGAAAAATTTAACGCCGTAAAACTGGCATATACAATTTTTTCAAATAATTACTATCAGAAAAATCAAACTTAGATTAAACCGGAATTAATTGCAAGACTTTATTTTAGTTTAAAATTCCTAAATTTTAAGCCAATTCGGTGTTGTGGCAATTAAGCCGACAAAAAAGCAGGCAAACGGAAGTCCGATAAAGAATTTTGACACCCGGAACATTTTTAATTAGCAAAAAAAAGGTCCTGGCAGAATTCGAATCATTGTCTTTGAATACAGTTCCGTTATCTCCGTGAATTAACGCCTTACTTTTGATTTTAAATAAACCGAGGCGTAAATGATTCATGTACTTCTGCTTTAAACTGTCTTTTTTCCAATTTGATGACGCTCGCTAGTTGGTAGACAGAAACTAGTTCGCGATTATAAGTAAAATGGCTCAATCAAGTTAAATGACACTAAGTCGATCACGTTTTTCGAGACCTTTATACTTTTGCTGTTCGATAAGGGAGTTTGCCTTCCTTTCACTCAGAGGCGAAGATGTGCTTCGCAAACACTAGCGAAAACACGACAAAAATAAGCTCTATAAAATGCAATAAGAAAGACGAAATACGCCTCGAATTGGTGAAAATTCGGCTACGTCTCGGATTCAATCTAGGACCTACGGCATCCTAGAGAAAATGAGTCTCATGCACTAACCACTCAGCCACGGACGCTTTGAATAATCACAAACAGTAGCCTCAAAAAAAAGCAGAGAACAGATGCTCCGAAATTTCCAATGCTATAGATCCAGATTATAGCAAAAGTGCCACCAAATAATAAACAATTTGCCACCAAATAATGAACACTAATATATATTAGTGAATTAGATTAGAAAAATAAAAGGTTCTTATCAACACAGTAACGCTCGCAATCTCGCTAGGGTAAACAACGGAAATGAAGTTCACTTACAAATAAATCAATAGTCAAACCGCAAAAAGAATTGAGCGTGAACAAATTTTAAGATTTTTTCCTGAAAAAAAAAACACCAAGACCTGTATAGGAGTCATCACTGTGTTCATTGCTCTTGAAACACTTCACTTTCAAGCCACCTTTTCGCGACACTTAGAGAACTTAGAACATTTATAAATCTTCTGAATCAGGACTTAAATGGGTATCAAGATGTTCTATCACTCGACCCAATCTGACGATTACTTGTGGCACTAACCTGACTTTTCGTAAACAGCGAAAGCACAACGGAAAACTCACCTCCAGGAATCGAAACCAGTAAAACTATATTGATCAAAAAACAGATTCTTTCCAAGGAGTTAATTAGATTGAGAAGCTGATCGATTTCCAAGTTTTCAAAAGTACTGTGAATAAAACAGTCATATTTTTCTTCTGCATATGTAGTTCAGCTGTAAAGAGGAGTGCTGCGGATAAGCTGAATTTCACTCAGCTTAAACCCGCTCTTAGCAATGAACGTCAGTCCTTAATTAGTTCATCAACAAAACGGATATAACTATATCACACTAATTAATTAAAGCATAGATGTACTAAAATGTTAGACTTCGGTTGGAAAAAAAACTGAAATGATCTTATAACTAGGAAAAGCTCTCAAGCTCTCTCGACTCGCAAGCTCTCCTGAGAGAAAGCATAATTTTGGAATCCAAATTTTTCTTGGAATCCAAATCACAGCTGAAACGGCTGAACTATGATACCTCGCTGAGTTCAAGAAAGTTCAAGAAAAGGTTAATTCCAACTACATTAAAAGGGTTTTCGCTCCTGAAATCAATAAATAGCACCAAAAAATTTGCTCGACAGCCGCACTTTTGCAGTCACCTTTGCATTTCATTGACAGCATGGTTAGACTGCTGGACTAGTTGTTGAGTCTTTTGTATTTGCGGATAATAAGTCTGGTAGTATCTAATGGCCCCACAAAAATCCCACAAAGAAAACTTTGGCCAATAAGGTGTTGAAAAACAGAGACATGTGAACTGGGCTTGCCAGAGAAGAAAGTCGGATAGTCTTACTTCACCACTAGTGCGGATCAACAGGTCCAAAGGCAGACAATTCTTCGTGTACAGTTCTCGCTCTATATTATCTCTTGTTAGCGCTTCATTCTTGTCAACCTAAACTGTCTTTTGTTAGCCCGTTAATACTTTAAAATTTTCAACAGATCCGGATAATAATAAAATGGTTCCAAGTTTTTTTGCAGAGCCGCAGAAGAGTCTCCACAATATTATTAATCTCATTTTCCGAGTGGTACAATTCACACGTATAACAATTCCATTTACTTTACATACCGAAACTAGTTTGTGCATCAAAATTCATAATTGATGCTGTCTAAATTCATGACAACATTCAAAATTGAATATGAACTTCTGCTCAGGTGCTTGAAATCAAAAATCTCAAAGACTATGCCTTTATATTCTCATTCTTAATCAGAGAGACAAAAGGAAACAACGCTCCACTTGCAATACAAAAATATTTGCTAGTGTTCAGGCTTAATCAAAAATTGACCATGCAAAAAAGTGCGACACATTTCAAAAACAAGTTTTTTTAAAAATACGCAAATTCAATCCTGTGTCTAACTCATAAAATCTCAATTGACAGAAATTGTTCTCAATTCAAAAAAAAATCGTTCTCACATCGTAGACCATAAAGGTCAAAAAATACGAATATGTCAACTTACCATACTACCTGCACTATCACAGGAAGATGACCTCAACCGAAACAGTAGTAAAAACGCTTGAAATACAATAATAAAATGCTGAATTATAGAAAAGTCAGTGCTGACGAAACTAAGTCGACAAAAAGTCAGCTTTCCTAACAATTATTTTTAAAGCAAAAAAACTATCAATTTTTTTAACGGACTCAAAACATCGATCTTTATTGTCCAAAGCATGGACGCTACGTATGCGGCAAATGCAAAGCATAAGCTGAACATGAATTGAATCAATTAAATGTTGATTTTGTCAGACAAGTTGTTTACCGAAAAAATATATGTTCAGGTTTAAACCGCTTGTTAATCAAGAACAGTTTCATCTTCATCTTTTTATATATTTAACCTTATTGACCGCGTCGCATATCTCCTGTGTTGAAGTATATGCAAAGCAGATGTTTAGAACTGAGCCTCTGTTTGCTTCTGTAGATTTCTCCAGTAGTTCGAACTGAGTCCTGAGATCCTCTGCTATCAACTCCTTCTTTCCGAGCAATCTGATCCTAACTCCCAATCGCTGAAGATGATGAGATTCGCGAAGCACCAACGGTATTTTACATCTAAAACAAGTGAACTCAGTTGCTGCGCAATCAGTGCACAGCTTTACGACCACAAGAACTTCGCTTAATTTGAAAACTTTGTCTTTGATGGAACGTATCATAGAAAATACAAGCCCGATACTTAAACTATACGCCAAATGCTCCCGGTAAAATACTAGAATTTGAATTCAGTTATGCAGCAAGTTGCCAGCAGAACGATTAACCTTCTCTCAATCCTGTAAACAAGGTTTTATACAAAATCGAGTCCGTCTAAATAAAAACAAATCTTATTTGCTCTTGGTTCATTATTAAATGACTGCGCCGCACCTGATCAACCTAATATACTGAAAACATCTCTTATATTTTACAAAACCTTTAATAATGTTCTTTATGTACTCAATAAAACCCAATAAATCTTTTTAAAATGACCTTTCAAACATTTGTTGAAACGTGACCTATTTAATATTTCTCTAGATCGTTTCAGGTAAAAAAAAAAATCTTTTTCGCTTTAACAACGCAATATGATGCCACTAAGCCGATAAAATACAGGCCAAAACAGGCTGTTGAGAAGAATACGAAATAAAATGTTTGAAAAGAAGAAAAAAACCAAACAGTTATTAAATAAACTCCCTTAAGCTTGCCAACATACATTTTCCCACCTGGCGAGATCTAGAAGACCTTCCACTTCCTCCCTGGGTCTGCTGAAGTTCTCGATGCTGAAGGCATACACAGTGATCTCCTTGATGCCCAGTTCTTTAGCCCAACTCAATACGCTGATGAGTGTCTCGAAGCCCTCCATGTGACCTAATACAAAGCAAATTATTCACAGAGGAGAAGCTGAGCTTCGCGCCACTTGCGATAGAAAAAGGATAGCCGCTAAGTCTAAAAAAATTCATCAAAAAAACTAGATCTACGATATGAATCGGAGAAAAGAATATGAAATTCGGATCGAAAGAAAATTTACCAAGCGGTAACAAAGCCAAAACACCTCAAACAAAACCTTTTAAGTAGAAAAAAAAACTCAACAAGACTTGTGAAAAATTCTTAAGTCCCCTCACCCTCAACACGCACAAAAACTTTTTTCGAATGTAAAATGAAATAAAATGAGTCCACTACTTCGATATAAAAACCTGCTAAGCCGAAAAAAGGAAAACAAAAAAAAGCGCCGAAAAAAAATCAAAAAAGTTTAAGACTAATAATAACTTATTAGGTCTCCTTCGCCCTACAAACACACACATGCACACAAAAAATTTTTTAGCTCCTTGAACAATGCAATATGCGGCGTATAAGCCGATATAATAGCGGCTGAAACCTATCAAAGCAAAAAAAATTGAAAAACAGAAAACAGGAAACTTTACCTAATCGAGGAGGTAAAATTACAAACGACATGAAAAAAACTTCGAACAGAACAGATATTTCAAAACCCAATAAGCACAAAACATATCTGTAGCGGTAAATTGGTTGCTAAGAGGCTTCAAGGAAATGAGTCCAGATGAAAAGAGACCTGTAAACTAAGTTAATAGCGTAAAACAGAAGTCTAGTACCCGATTGCAATACCTTTGCATATCGCAAAGGTAAACACCAGGAAAAAATGGCAAAAAGTAGCTCTGAAAGTAAAGAAAGAAAATACATTTCCCGAAAAAAGGACACGAGCTATGAAAAATTTATTGATTTCTTCTTATATGCAACAGATGAGAAAAAATCCTGGTAAAAAAACCAAGATTTAAAAATTCCTACCTCTACTTCTTACAAAAAAATTCTTTGATATTTACTATTTCAGCAGAAAAATTAAGCGTCTGCACAAACCGGAAAATCATGAACTAAAATAACCCTCTTGAACACTTATAAAAAGTATTAAAAAGTGTTGAAAATGTTACTGAAATACATGGGATACGTTAGTGTGACACCTCCTCGAGTGGTGTAGTCCTTTGCGGTGGGGTCCGCAGTAATCGGATCTACCCCGGTGTATCCTGGGGATTTGGTCTGAGCTTTTGGGCTGTCGGGCAGATATTTGTACTTCCTATTGCCTGCGCGATGTATTGGATCACGTGCTTCCAATATATCACCGACAGTTCATCAAACGAGGCCATTTCTGCAAACGTCACACGCCGCATTGCCCAGTGCTCAAAGACGTAAGTGCGAACCTTGGGGAGCCTTGCTTCGGCAAACGCAAGCCTTGGGGGTCACTCGACATTTTTGTATTGCGCTTGCCCCTGGCTGGATCCGGCCTTGAAAGCCACCAGACCAAGTACCATTTGTTGTCTCGCATGTCCTCGGATAGAGTCGACTTTTGGTACAACTTTCTGTGTTAGTGGAGACCAGAAATGGGGGACTGTGTTCTACAGATCCCCTGATGTTGAGAAAGCTATTTGTGGAAAATGGGCTTTCCCGAAGTTGCCATGAATGGTAACCGCCACAATGCTTTTAGCACTGTGGATCCTATGATGTAATCTTAGGAAGGGTTCATACCCGGTGATTTTAAAAAGCTCGGATTCGTAAGGTGGGTAGCTAGGCAACTTGTTACCCTCTAAGAATAGTGCATCTTGGTGAAACTTAACTCTCAGTGATGGTCATTTATGACTATGAGAATACTGAGGACTGAAATACAGAAGCCGGGAAGTAAACCGACAAAATTTGGACGAATTCATTAAAATCAACAAAAAATCTGTTTATATCTTTAAGAAATTGGCTTTAGACCCAGTATCTTGGAAGCTCTAGGCTTAAGTATACAGCTACTTACCATTTAAACAGGCTAGAAAGGAGGGCGAGATCTGCAACTAGGCGAGATCTTAGAATTTCAGATCCCGTGAACAAAGTTGTTTACGGGGAAACTAAGCATAGTACCCAACTGCAATACATTTACGTAGAGCAAGGGTAAAAAAACCGCTTTTGCTGGTACTGTTATCGCAACCGGTTCTTTCAATCAAACTCTTCTTCTCAGATCGTGTAAATTTTAGGAAAATTCAAAAAATTACTCAAACGGTCAAAAGTTCTAAAAAGGTAAAAAAGATCTCCAAATCCAAGACTTTTTCCAGCAAAGAGCAGGTTGTGGCCACTCAAGCGGAGAAACATCCCAAAACCGGGTTTCTTGATTGAAGACAACTTGAGAGTTGGCACGGTAGTTTTCGCGTAAAATCAAGTTTCCAAAAAACTATCAAAAATTCAAAACCTTGACTTGTTTGACGGCCATAACTTTTTCTTTAACAAAATCACCATAGCCAATAATAAAAGCAGGCTTTCGACAACCTGTTGTTTTGATTGAATTGATGATATCAGATTTGCAGGATAGTTAGCGAGAAAACCCAAAAAACAGTCAACGAATCAAAAATTTGACATTTCCGAGAATCATTTGTGTGAAAAAATAAGGCGTAGCCGCTAATCCAGAAGGCGACCTGATTCACGCAACCTGTATTTTAGATTAAACCCAAGATCTCAGGTTTGTGAGGGTACTTCTCGAGAAAATTCAAAACGGTCAAAAAACAAAAAGAAAAAGACTTTTCCGGTGGCAATAATTTTTTGTGTAAAAAACTTTAGAGTGGCCGCTAATGCATGGGAGCTTCCCACTACCAGTTATCTCCACTAAACCCCAATACTAGATTTGAGAGAGTTCGAAAAAAGTCAAAAGGATTCACTAAAAAACGGTCGAAAATCAAACAATTGAATATTCAGAAGGCTTAACTTTCGTGTGTAAAACAAATTTGGACATTGCCGGTCAGTTTTCAAAACCGTTCTATTCATTGAAACCAAAAACTCAGATGTGAGAGGGGTCGATTTCCAGAAAACGAAAAAAAAATAGGGGTCAAATACTCCACCACAGACTTTTTCGAAGGCTGTAGACAGAGGGGTCAAGTAAAAGAGGCCCTAGTGGAGTATGCGGGCACACACGAGAGCAGGCGATCTTTCAATTGATACCCCTTTTTTGAAAATCAGTAGAAAATTCTGAGAAAAACTTTCAACTTTCCCATAAATTTGAAAACTTTTCTATTACAAAATTAGAGGCCAGCTGAAGCTGGAAATACTTGTTTGAACATAGGCGCTACGCGCAATACACCGAAGGCATAGAAACTGAAGCAAAAACCAAACAACTTGAACAACTAATTATTGAAGAATAACAGTTCTAGAACAAAAAATCGTACTAATACATGTATACACCAAAATTTTGCTATATCGAGAAAGAGCCTGAAATAACAGTTCTAGAACTAAAAATCGTACTAACACATGTATAGGTTAAATTTTTGATATATCAACGAAGATCATAAAATAACACTTCTAGAACTAAAAATCGTACTAACACATGTATACACCAAAATTTTACTATATTGACAAAGAGCCTGAAATAACAGTTCGTGAGCTAAAAATCGTACGAACACATGTATACACCAAAATTTTGCTATATTGGCAAAGATCATGAAATAACAGTTCGAGAGCTAAAAATCGTACTAACACATGTATACGTCAAATTTTTGCTATATTGACAAAGATCATGGAATAACAGTTCTAGAGCTAAAAATCGTACTAACACATGTATACACCAAAATTTTGCTATATTGACAAAGATCATGGAATAACAGTTCGAGAACTAAAAATGGTACTAACACATGTATACAATAAAATTTTGATATATTGACAAAGATCATGAAATAACAATTCGAGAACTAAAAATCGTAATAACACATGTATACACTAAAATTTTGATATATTGACATAGATCATAAAATAACAGTTCGAGAACTAAAAATGGTACTAACACATGTATACGCTAAAATATTGCTATATTGACGAAGAGCCTGAAATAACAATTCTAGAGCTAAAATCGTACTAACACATGTATACGTCAAATTTTTGCTATATTGACAAAGATCATGGAATAACAGTTCTAGAGCTAAAAATCTTACAAACACATATATACACCAAAATTTTGCTATATTGACAAAGAGCCTGAAATATTGACAAAAGACCTGAAATAACAATCGTAGAACTAAATGTCGTACTTACGCATTGTAGATCAATTTCTATAGCTATAATAAAATACAAAAGATTGTGTTTGTATGTGTAGCAAAACGCCTCCTGTTTTACACCTAATACAAGTATACACAGACCAGTTAATTGAAACTACAGTGTACCTATTACAAGTATACACAGATCAGTTAAACTAAAGAAACTGTGTACCTCATACAAGTATACACGATCAGTTGATTGAAACTACAGTGTACCTAATACAAGTATACACAGCTGTTGAAATAGAAAAACTGTGTACCTAATACAAGTATACACAGACCAGTTGATTGAAACTACAGTGTACCTAATACAAGTATACACAGCAGTTGAAAAAAAACTGTACCTAATACAAGTATACACAGACCAGTTGATTGAAACTACAGTGTACCTAATACAAGTATACACAGCAGTTGAAATAGAAAAACTGTGTACCTAATACAAGTATACACAGATCAGTTGATTGAAACTACAGTGTACCTAATACAAGTATACACAGCAGTTGAAAAAAAACTGTGTACCTAATACAAATATACACAGACCAGTTGATTGAAACTACAGTGTACCTAATACAAGTATACACAAAAGTTGAAATAGAATAACTGTGTACCTAATACAAGTATACACAGATCAGTTGATTGAAACTACAGTGTACCTAATACAAGTATACACAGCAGTTGAAAAAAAACTGTACCTAATACAAGTATACACAGACCAGTTGATTGAAACTACAGTGTACCTAATACAAGTATACACAAAAGTTGAAATAGAATAACTGTGGCTATACACACGCAGAAATAATAAAAGCA